GGAAAAACATCACAGGTGAGGATGGCAAAGAACAGAGTTCAGAACGATAAGGGAAGATACAGCAGTGGTGCTAGAATCAAAATCCTGTAGCTGCATTTCTCCCTTGCTGGTTTTTTAAAACAAACTTACTATTTTGAAATAATTTTAGACTCAGAAGAAGTGGCAAAAATTACACAGAGATGTCATATTCCCTTCACTCAGCTTACCCTAATGTTAATATCTTGCATAACTATAGTACAATGGTCAAAACTGAAAAATTAACATTGATACAATACTATTAACTAAATTACAGGCTATATTCAAATTCCTCAACTGACCTTTAAAGTCTGTAGTCCAGCAAGCATTGAAAAGGAAATTTAGAAAGGAGGATGCAGAGAAGGTTATGTAGGGCCAACAGCATCTGAGCAAGACAGAGCAAAGGGAAATCAAAATTGCATAGCATGCACTGTTGACTGCCTCTTTCTAATTCAGTCTCCCTGGGGCGGGAGTGGGGGTGGATTTCTGTAATTTGTCTGTTTGTGGAGGGTGACCTTTGTCAAAGGGGGGAGACTTTTTTTATTTGCATATAGTTCCACGTTAACTTTGGCTTTGCTTTTCCATGAGGTCAGGTCTGTGTTATCCACATGGAAAGGTTCTAAACATAAATAATTACCTTTCACCCTCACTATTCATCCAATTAAGAACATTCACACAGTATATTAGATAAAAGGACAACTTAGATTGAAAGGTGAAAATGTATTTTTCTGCATGGGGTAAGAAACAAACAATAAAACATTTAAACAAATTGGCAGGGTAAGGAAAGCCGTTTGCTTTCCAGCATCTCTCAACTTAGATGTTCATAATGAGGCTTTGGAAATTTGGACTGGTAATTCAGTGTAAGACCTATCCATGTGGTGGAGGATGCATTTTAAAGTCAAATAGAAACATTTAAAAATTATCTTGTCAGGGAAGTTGACTAAAAGTGCATTGCACTCAAATTCCCTTGCTTTATAATATATTACAAATCATATATTACAAATCAACAACTGCTGTTTTAGCAGCAAAATTTATGGATGATTTTATGGTAAAAATAAATGGGAGAAGGCAGAGTGTGACAGTGAATGTTTTAAACATATTTTATAATGTTCAAGTCTAGAATTAGGAGGCCAAAAATTAATTGTTCCAAAATAAATTCCAGACTGATAGAGTTGAAAGTAAAAGAGCTTTAAATTATCAGAATGAAAATAAGTGAATAACCTAAGAATGTTACATTAAAAAAAAAATTCCTACTAAAAATAGTGAGGTGCTAGACTGTAGCTCAGAGGTAGATCACTTGCCTAGCATGTGCAAGGCCCTGGTTTCCATCCCCAGTACCACAAAACAAAACAAAACAAAACAAAAAATCTACAAACAAAATTGAAAGGCAAAGAACATCCTGGGGAAATTTTTATAAAATATAATACCAATAGATAACTTAAATATTCTTAATATATAAGAAGCATTTATAAATTGATAAAAATGTTAAATATTCTAATACAAAAACTGAGTAAAAGACAAGAAAAAATAATCCTCAAAACCAAATCATAGGGCCTGGGGTTGTAGCTCGGTGGCAGAGCGCTTGCCTAGCATGTGTGAGGCACTGGGTTTGATCCTCAGCACCACATATAAATAAATAAATAAATAAATAAATAAATAAATACAAGTATTCTGTCCAACTACAAGAAAAAATTTAAAATATCACAAATGGCCAATAAGTGTATGAAAAATTGCTCACCCTCACCAGTATATCAAGGAACAGAATTTGTAAAATAATATTATTTTTCCTTATTAAATTAGAAATGATAAAAAATAATTATGATATTCAGGTTTTCTTAGGGTATAAAGGAATGAATACCAGTAAAAACTTATTGATAATTTGGCTAAATTTATTAAGATATTTTTAAATGATCCAGGCACAGTTGCTCATGCCTATAATCCCAGAAACTTGGGAGGCTGAGGCAGGAGAATAAAAAGTTCAAAGCCAGCCTCAGCAACGGCAAGGTGCTAAGCAACTCAGTGAGGCCCTGTCTCTAAATAAAATACAAAATAGGGCTGGGGATGTGGTTCAGTGGTCGAGTGCCCCTGAGTTTTCAATCCCCACTATGTATGTGTGCAATATGTGCATATATATATATATACTTTTTTTTTAAACATGCATATTTATTTCATTTCTAGGACTTTAACCTAAGGGGAAAAACACAAGATGTAAATAAAGAGAAAGTCTAATAATGCTCATGACAGCATTATTCATATAGAAAAAAATAGAAATATCTACTTCATTATTATTGGACATTCAGAGTTAAGAGTCAGTAAACTATGTGTGTGTGCGTGTGTGTGTGTGTGTGTGTTTAGCTAACTTTATGTTGCTGGGACAAAATACTAGAGATAATGAACTTATAAGAAGAAAGAGAATACTTTGGCTCATGGTTTCAGAGAGTTTCATATACCTCTGTTTAATTTACAATCATGCTGAAGAGTATTTGTTAATATGGGAAGATATTTGAATTATAATATTAAGCAGACCAGCCATTTCCAGCAATATAGTAAATTAAATTAGCTGAAAATCCCTTTGATATAAACTTCCATAGTGCAAGATAAAATATACAAAAAGTGTTTTAATTATGTAGCTGAACTCCCAAGAAATAAAGGAAAACCTGGAGATGCCAGAAATAAGGGAAAAAATTGATGAAAACCAGAGTGGTAATGTTATAAATGGAAACCGTATTTGTCTCTAGAAGGAAGTTTCAGTTTTCAAAAACCATAGAGATAGAAGATTAAGTCTTGGGTCAAAGGGTCATTTCATAAAACTGGGTTCCTGGGAGGGCTGTACCCTCCATAAAAGGTTGGAGTACAACAAGGATTTGCATCTTGGCATAGGGAAACAAGGAATATTATGTTTCTCTGTCTAAGCTCAAGGTGGAAGGATAAATGAATGTCATCTGAGAATAAAAGCACAAGCCTGGAACTCATGTAGGTTTTAGTTATTTGTTAATAACTTTATTTATTTATTTTTATGTAGTGCTGAGGATCGAACCCAGGGCCTTGCATGTGCTAGGCGAGCATTCTACCGCTGAGCCATAACCCCAGCCCCAGGTTTTAGGTTTTAATGTATGCCATGCCTGGGAACTATTTTCCTAGGGCTTTTAGCAAGTAATGGCAAAACTTCTTTGAGGGGATTCTCCCACAATGTAGATCACAAGAGATTTTCAAGTAACTTTTAAAATCCCATTACAGAAGATTTCACAATAAAAACTATATAAGTGAATTACCTACTATGAATGAGAGTCACTGAACATAATCATCAGCAAGATTAGGAATCTGAGAATTATTAAAATAAGGAATAATTTTAAGAAAAATCATCCAATATTAACAGCAAAGATAGATATAAATTATAAGACAGAAGCTAAAATACATGGGGGATAGAATTAAAGGCTCAATCTTTTTTTTTTTTTTCTTAAATGGTTCAACCTTTATCCAAGAGGAATTCCAGAAGAAAACTAGAGAAAATTCGAGAAAGGTAATCTTCAAAGAAACAATGCCTGAGGATTTTCTAAGACTGATAAAAGACTGAAGAAGCACAAATATCAAGTAAAACAAATAAAATTAAATCTCAGCCTAGACATATCATAGTCAATTTGCAGAACACCCCCACCCCCACCAAAAAAAGCAAAGAGAAAGCAATTTTAAAAATTACCAGAGAGAAAAAATAGACTACCTACAAAGGAACAACAATGAGACAGATGAGAGACTTTTAAATTGCAACAATATAGGTAAATAATATCTTCAGAGTTCTGAGGGAAAATAACCATTAACCTACGTTTCTTAACCCAGGTAAATTATTATTCTAGAGTGAGGGCAATAAAAACATTTGCAGAAATGAATTGAAAGAGTCAAGAACTCACAAATTCTTGCTGAAGGAAATGCTAAAGTATATATTTGAGAAAGTAAATAGTGAGGTGGAAAAAGGAATGGTGAACAGAGATAACAGTAAAGATGCGGATAAATCTAAACAAGTATAGACTATAAAAATGATGAGGATGAATAATTTGGAGATATAAAAACAAAGTGAGAGAGGCATTGTTGGGTTAAAAGTAAGTCCTTGAATTATTTTAACAGAGGGTAGAACTACTAACAAACTTTAGACATGTAAGTCTTTAAAAAAAAAGGAACAGAAACAGAATATATAGCTTCCAACACTTTAAAGAAAATAATAATTTAAACAATTGATTAATGGGAAAAATGCAAGGAAGGAGAAAAAGTGTAGATAAAGCACAATAAAAGAGAACTCCAGTGCTAAGATAAGATAAATTAATTCAAATGTACCATTAGACATAGTAAATGTAACTGGACTAAAACTTGTGAACTTAAAAACAAATCTTGTGGGTATGGTGTTGCATGCCTGTAATCTCAGCTACTCTGGAGGCTGAGGCAGGAGGATCATAAGTTTGAGGCCAGCCTCAACAACTTAGTGAGGCCCTATCTCAAAATAAAAAAAAAATAAAAATAAAGGGAGTGGTGGGGGTGTAGCTCAGTGGTAGAGTGTCCCTGGGTTCATTCTCTGGTACAGAAAAAAAAAAGTGCTTCTAAACACAGAATCTTTATTGAATTAAAAATTCCAAATTTTAGCTAAAGGCTGTCCATCTTATCTAAAACATGGAAACCATGAAAAGTGATATAAAAAGATAACAAATATTATTAGGGACAAAGAAAGAGTCACAACATACTGATAGAAGGAATAATCCACAAGGAAGATACAGCAATTCTAAATCTCACTACCTAAAAATACAGCCCCACAAATTGATAGAATTACAAAAAGAAACCGATATATCTGTAATCAGTGGTAAATTGTAATATACCTTTCCATGTTGAAAAAGTAGACCAAAATTAACAAGAATGTAAGAAATTTGAACAATACAATTTAGAAAGTACTTGAATTGACATATACAGAATTCTGTACTTAACAATTATAGAATGTTCATTTTTTAAAAATACTCATAGATCATTTACCACACTGTTTTACTACAATGCAATAAAATTAGAATTCAGGAACAAATGATAATTGCAAATGAATGCACTTGGAAATTTTAAAAAGTAAGTTATATAACCAGTTTGTGCTAAATATCATCCCATTTAAGAAAAAGTATCTATGGTATGCATTGGGAAAAACAAACTGGAAACAGGCACTAGCTTATAGGTATTTTCTAGTTTTGTTTTATTTTAAGGGTTTTTCTATATTGTTAAAGTTTCCTGCTTCGGTGTTATCATCGTGTATTTTTTTTCTAACTAGAAAAATCAGGAATAAATTTTATTTAGAATAACACATGGAATAATAAATTGCCTGAGCTATTGCTTTTTTTTACAATTATTGCTTCCTAATATATTCTCTTCCCCCAAGCACTGAGAATAAAGTTCAATTACTAGCCTTAGCCTAAAAGATTCTATAAGATACTGTTACAGCCTAATTTTCTAACCTTACTTACCTCCATTCACATTCCCCCAGGTTCACTCTACTCTAGCCTAGAGTTCTTCATGTTCTTTCCACCCTGGGTCTTCACATTTGCTATCCTTTGAACCTACTAGAAGCCTTATTGCTTTCCTTCCTGAAATGCCTTCTTTACCTAGGTATTCTTCATTTATTAGCTGAAATGTTAAATTCTTAAAGAAGCCTTTTCTACTTCCCTTTCTCAGACTAGGTTTGGGTACTAGATAGTCTCAAAGTACCCATTCTTTGTCTTCATAGCAGTAATAATAACTTGGAAATATTTGTTTATGTTTTTATTTGGTTATTACTTGTCTTCCTTGCTAAAACTATCTTCTCATGAGGGCAGAGACCACATCTGGTTTGCTCATTTCTACAGCCTCAGCACCTATTACTTTGTCAAGCATGTGCTAAGTACTCAGTGGATATTTCTTGAAAGAATGTATAAATGAATGAATGAGTGAATAAAGATAAATCCCCATAACAGCTACTGGAGATTCTGGAACCAAAAAGTAAGGTGAGAAAGTTCATGAAGGAGAAGCATATATAGGCTATGCTATGCCACAACTGTGGTTTTAATTAACAGTTCTGGTAATGGCTCAGATTTACTGAAAAATGCTGACAAGGTAAAGTTCCTCTTGTACTGTCTTTTCTGCATTTGATTTAGTGGACTATTCCTTTTCAAACGAGAAAAGTGCTGTGAATTAGCTTAAAAATGAAATCACAATATAACTACTGTAGTTTTTCTTCCTAAGGCCAAGGACAGTGAAATAGGATGATTTCTAGAGGAGTGTAAATTACTGAATCACATTGCATTTTTCTTGAAGTTCTATTTCATTAAATAATTGATACAGCATGACATAACCAAGAACCCAATTCAAGTTGGCCTGAATATACTCTATCTTATTTTCCAGAAACAACTTGTACACATTCAGTAGGCTTGGGTAATAGTGGTCTTTGTAATTAGGGCAACTACATAGGAAAAAGAGATACATTTTCAACTGACTTGACTTTTTTTTTTCCTAGAAAAGAAAAATATTGGTTAGACTTGCCCCAGAGTATACAATTTAGGTTATAATCTAAAATTCTTAAAATACACCCTTTTAAAAAAGAGGCTAAGGAAACCAAAGTAGTCTTCACTTTAGGTTTTGTAACATTATTTTGGTTCTGTTACATCATGGACATTCACATTCACAAACATTAGTTTCCATCTTCAACTCTTTCCCCCACAGAAAAAAAAGTCATGGTGGTAGTTTACATGTCAAATTCTCTTAGTTTAGTTTTTAATCTAATCACTTTTTCTAAAATCTCAGTCTGATCCTTCTATTTAATCAAGTCACAAACTAGATGTTTGGTAGTTATACACATAATTAACTCTAGAAAATCTTTTTGAGTATTTATCCCTTAATAGTTCACATGGAAGCGATATTTAGTTGTTCATTTCTTTCAAAAGTTACCCCCAGCTAATTCTACAGTTCTTTTTGTTTTAAAAAATATTTTTTTTAGTTGTAGTTGGACACAACACTTTATTTTTCATTTATTTTTATGTGGTGCTAAGGATAGAACCCAGCACTTTGCACATGCTAGGCGGGCGCTCTACCACTGAGCCACAACCCCAGCACTAATTCCATAGTTCTATAATGATGTGTAAGGTCTAGTAATACCAGTGTAAAAATATAATTTATTTAAAAACAATTATGAAACAAATTCATGCAATAATACAGAATAGACAGTTCATAAAAATAGGCATGTCCAATTAAGAAGAAAGATAGGAAATGAGAGAACAGGATCTGTAAATGTGCATTTTTTTTACAATATTCTGTTTAAATGTCAAGGATTTCGGTTGACTAAACAGAAACATAGTATGCCAAAAGGCATGGCTGTCAATTATTATTGCAGACCAAGTATGTAATTTTAGGCATGGCTGTCAATTATTATTGCAGACCAAGTATGTAATTTTTTGGTGATAGGGACTGAATCCCAGGCCTAGCATATGCTAAGACCATGCTTACCACTAAGCTACACCCTTAAGAATTTTTTTGACTTAAGTATCCAAGCATTGAAAGCATTACTAGGGAAGTCAAACAATACTGTAGGCTCAAGAGTGTTACTTATTCAAGTAAATATATGTCTGGTATGATGCTTCAAATTATTTATAATCCTTTGTTACCTGTATTTTTCCACATTTTTATTGGTGCATTATACTTGTACATAATGGTGGGAATTGTTGTTATATACTTGTACATGCACACAGTATAACAATATAATTTGGCCAATATCCCTGTCATCTGTATATTACAGAATAATATTGAGAGCCTAGACAGAACACTGTAAATCATTTGATCAAATCAATGAAAAGGCAACCAAATGAATTTGTCTGATGATAATAGTGGCCTAATTAATTGGCTTAAGTTCTTCAGATTCCTGAACTAAGTGGAAACTATTTTGCCATCATATTTGTTATGTAATTGATCATGTAGTAATCTAAACTAATAGTAATCTAATTGGTTAAACTGTAATTATTCAATTCAGTAATATAGAATATAGAATAGCTCATTAGTATGAGAAAACAACGTTTCCTAACAGAGTAAGAGAAATGACTGGTAATGATCAGAATATCACTAGAATTCTATATCAGCCATTTAAAACATGTCAGAATAATGGGACAATATAGAAAACATTAACCAAAATTTTCAGTCTTTTAATTTTTATCAATGACATATTAGCACTTTTTCTTCTATTCATGCAGTTTCAAAAGAAATTAACAAAATCCAACTCTCTTTGCACAGTCATGGTGACTTCAAGTGTCTCAGTCTCCAAAATATAGAATGCTTTAGCACTACTGCATTCCACAGGCAGAGGAAGAGTCACCAACAGCTTCCTAAAAATATAATATAAAATAAAAACCTAGAATTAGCTTCTTAAAGTGATATATCACTTTCAATAAAGCAATAGAAAGCAATATATACCACTAGAATATTTTTAAACCCCCCTCCAAAAAAATCCCCACTAATATTTAGACAGTACAAATACTGGATCAAAAATATGCCAAGTACCACAGTATACTATTTGGGGGCTTAAAAATTCAGTCAGATATTTTTGCTCCTTCTCTTTTAAAAAATTGACCTCATATTGCATTGTATAAACATCATCTCAGGCAATGTTTGTAAGAATAGAAGTAGAACCATGCAACCTTAAGTTTGTTGGACAGATCTGTTGCCAGTCATATTTATGTGAAGATAGAATTGGCTGACTGATACAAATCTGAAAATTGGAATAGTTCTATAACACTTCTGCTAAAACAGCTTTAGGTTGAGATTCTACTACAGGTTTAGCTTTTGAAAATCAGGTTTGGAATTATTTCAATACCAGATCAATGAAAGTACTTTTCTCTGCTTGCTTCTGATTCTTTCTGCTACACATTGACAAAAATTCGCTCTGATAGATTGCTGGGTTTATTTTGTGGTTTATGGCTCAGTTGCTGGTAGTTGTATGCTTTAGATGCATTGCTGGGATGAGACATCCATAATTCTGTCCTAGTGGTATGAATCTGAATTATGCATGGGTTCAGCACACACTGGTATCAGAAGAAAATTAAATGCCTAAAACACTTGTTACCTCACATTTTCATTACAGAAGGCCTGAGTGTCTCTACAAAAAGTGGACAGAAAAGATTTTTTATACACAAATCTGTAAAGGATTCTGACATTTTTTAAGGGGCACTTCTTGGATACGTGAATAGAGAACTAGTATTTCTTCCCTCATTTGCAAAGACCTATGTTCAGGGGACTGGGCTTGTTAAAAGTATTTATTACACATTTCTAAGAGAAATTTTCTGTGTCTCTTGCTCCATTTCAGACAGGGTACCAGAAACAGTTCTTTCTACCTGAAGTAATTAAATGGTAAAGTATTTTAATGCCTCTTATAATATTTGGCATCTCAAATCAGTAAGTACACAAAACACTTAAGAGTCCATCCTTTAAAGCTGTTTAAAATATAGTTTGTGCCAGAGTTAGATTTGCTTCATCTCATATTCTATAAATGATAATATATTCACTTTAAAAAGAAGGCAAAGCTTAATGTGGTAGCTTCATTGCACTAAAAGACATCTATAAATCAGCTCAAGAAGGAGTTCCAATGATAATGTGCACTTCTCTGTCCAGAGAGAAATAAATTCCAAAGACAGTTAGTGGCCATTGGAATGATCCATCTAGCCCTGCATTTCTGTCTTGTCCTGAGTAGTATGGCTTCACATACTAAAATTTTGAACAACAGAATCATGAAAGTTGTTTAAGCTCTTAGTAGAAGGGACATATTTTTATCTAGTTTGTTTTGTTGTCTAATATCTGTACAGAGATTTGTATTTAAATAAAATGAAAATCATAAAAATATTTATCATGTACAATTCATTGAAAGACAGCAATGTGGTGCTCCCCTAGTATCTGGCAGACTATAAATGTTTGTTGAATGAATAAATAAATGAATGAAAAACAAATATTCAGGTGAACACCAAATCACATTTTGAATGATTACCATAGAATGGTACTATAAGATATGAATGAACATTTAAACCCAAACCCACTGCCATTATATTGATAATATATTTGCTTTTTAAGATGCTATAGTTTAGGCACTAATCAAATGATCATCCAGTGTTAATTTTCATTAGAAACTAAGTGCAAAAATAATATATGAAAGTAAAAACAAAAAAAAAAATCTATAGTGTAAACTCAACTTTAGAGACTTGCATGCTGAGATTTATATTAGACAGTTTAAATTGATGTTGCTTGGAAGATATTTAAATAAAGGACAATCTTGTTCTGTTCATAAACAATAGTTTTATATTTTAAAAAATGTGGCATTTTTAAGCTTTCCTGTAGGAGATATGCTATTTTCAAAGAAATTGCAGAAATACTTGAGTTGCAATTCTACTATTCCATTTAGAAATTTTTTAGGTAAAGTATCTTTGAACATCAGTTAATTCTCAATTAATCTGAATTAAAGGAGCACAGCAAAGGCATGAATAATCTAAAGCAGCACTTGACCAAAAATTAGATTATATGTCTTTATAATGTACATTTAAAGTGTTCATTTAGGAGACTCTAAGAATTCACTTTAAAAAAAATACAATGAAACCTCATGTTAAGATTATGGTTGAAGATTCTGGGAAACTACCTCATTTTCCCCATCCTTTCTCTCTTCTATCTATTCCATATTGGGGATATACATGCCAGAGTGACCAACTGGGAAAAAAAATGAAGAATTCAATAAACTATTATGTTTGGTTTTATAATGCTAAGTATCTGGGCTTTATGGATAATGCTAATGCCATTGACTATTGTTTGACTGAAATCACTAGTCAATTCAATTAAAATAAATTCATTTTTTCTGCCTTATAGGTACATGAAAAGAAGAATGTTTTCTCTTATATCTTTCTTAGTAGCCCAGTGTGGTGGTGTGTGCCTGTAGCTCCAGCTACCCTGAAGGCTGAGGTGGCAGGATCACTTGAGCCCAGAATTTCAAGACTAGGGATTGAACCCAGGGCCTCACTCATACTAGGCAAGCATTCTACCACTGAGATACATATCCAGCCCTCACAAAATTTTTCTTGGAGTAAATAAACATAGTGTTACAGGATGTAAAAGTTAGAAACTAAAGAAAGTATGTATGAATATCAATATACTAAAAAAACAAACAAATTTCTGATAATAAAATTTTGGATAAGAGCCCGGCACATGCCTGTAATTTCAGTGACTCAGGAGGCTGAGGCAGAAGGATTACAAGTTCAAAGCCAACCTCAACAATTTAGTGAGACCCTACGCAACTTAACGAGATCCTGTCTCAAAAAAATAATGGTCTGGGAATTTAGCTCAGTGATAAAGTGCCCCTGGATTCAATCCCCAAGTACAAAAAAAATGGATAATAGCATGGATGTAAAAGAATGCTCAGATATTTAGGAAAAGTGATAAAACACACTTATTTTCTAATTTCTATCTTAATTAAGTTTTCTTAAGAGATAGTACCTCTGTGTGCTTACCACTTATTATTAAAGTACAGTATGCACAATATTTATCATTTGTGTATATCATTTATATGATTTAGTATATAAGTACACCATGCAAATGACCTAGTGCAGTCCACACTCTATGTGGAAAAGTACCTCTGTGTGAGACTTTCATTTAGTGGGTTCTGATATCCATCTGAAATGACAGCAAAGTCAGAACAGCTGCCTAAAGATTGATGGAGACAGTGAGAACTGCTAGGGAAACGGAAATTAACTCCATGGTGGGTAGATATGTGTGTGCATTTAACAAGTGTGCAGCTATTATAGAAGACTGACTGTTCACTTAACCAACTTTTCTTGCAAGGTTGTGTGGAAGAGTAAACATATGTATAAAATACAATACTCCTTGAAGTGAATGTTAAGAACGGTGAAAGTAATTTTTACAACATGAGACTTTTTGGTGAGAAATACTTTTTTGAAATGATGTAAATAATGAGAAAATATTTGGTGTATACTCTTTTATGGATTATTTTGGGTTAAATACATCTATTATAGCAATCAAGATTAAGCTATGTATGTACATCAGATTGTTTAGGAGAGGTCTACTTTTTATCTTCTTAAATCCTTAAGTTCAACAAAGGAGAATTATAGGTACTGATAATGGAAGAATGAGAATGCACTAGTAACTGCCTGCTCCTTAGACTCTGTTTGAAATGTTTATGAGTTACAGAGAAAGGACTACTGCAGACAACCAATGTGTGCTTACTATTTTATACATCCAGATGAAAAGTGAATAAAACTGACATATTTAGATATTTTAACTAACACATATCAGGTTCCATCAATTGCCTTTTTAAAGAGTTAGTTTTGAGACAGTACTGATTTATCCATTCCTTTTTTTAAAAATTGTTTTGTAGTTGTAGATGGACAGAATGCCTTTATTTTATTTATTTATTTTTATGTGGCGCTGAGGATCAAACCCAGTGCCTTACACATGCTAAGCAAGTGCTCTGCCACTGAGCTACAGCCCCAGCTCTGATTTATCCATTCTTCATGAGAAACACTTTATATCAGAATTTTACTCTTTGTATTGTTTTGGCAACATGATTTGTACATATAACAAATAACAAGTCTTGTGATAACAAGACTATATTTGAGAATATGAAAACATTTAACAGAATTATTCTTCATCTATATTATTTTAAAATGTGTCCATGAAACCTGAGGATCTAGCGATGCATTAGCTCTTAGAATTTTTGTTCTAAGTAATTAATGACAAGAATTTTATTGATTTTTTTAGATGAACATAATCCAAGTTTTACCTTACAGCTCTACAACATTAGAAAAGTTAAAAGATACTGCTTCTCTTATGCCATCACTATACAAAAAAATCACATGTAAGACGTAAAACTTAAGGGGTTTTCACTTCTAGTTATTCTTTTCTGACAAATAAACTATCTGAATGTCAAGGATTATATTTTCATAGTATCAATGCCTCCAAATATATAAATGCAAATTGGAAAAAATCGAACTATTTCCAAACATCTGTATTTATACTATGTAGGTCAAGCATCTGAATAATTAACTGAAATTTTGTGGTTTTTAGGATTTTAGGGGGTGAGGCACAATAATTTGTATACTTGTAAAAAGATTATTTACTACTAAAGACTCATTAGTATTATAATACAGTATTCTAAGTTTTACTCACTTATTAGAAGTCCGAAGATCAATGATCATTTCCTGGATATCAATTTTAATTTCAGAAGGGTTTGTATTGGGCAGTTTAATTTTAACCTGAGAGAAAATGAGAAGGAAAATACTGTTATCTTAGAGCACTAAATTTGAAAAGTATAATAATATATGAAGAAGGAAAAACTAATATCTATTAAGTGCCAACTATGTGCCAGTATGCCCTCTGCTTATATCAATCTTGACAAGCAAGGATTCTTAGCTCCATTTTACAGATAGAGAAACAGAGAGGTTAAGTGAGTAACTCAAGGATAACCGCCTGTAATTTGACTAAGGTTTATCTGACTCCAAAGTTATATAGAAACAGTGAAGTTACTTTCCTATAACCTACATTGTTTGAAGTGCACAGCTAGACTTGGTGGGGACCCTTGACCACCTTTATGTCAGTGGGAAATTTGTCTGAGAAAATGTTTAGTTGTCATATTAGGTGTGGGTTGCTGATGCATCTTGTAGTCTCTAGGTAAAAACTCAAATTTCCTAGGGAGGTGTAGGAATCCAGAAATGTTATTAACATAACAAAGAGAAACAATAGTATGACTTCCACCTCCCAGAAAGGACTACTTTCTGGTGTAGTTAGATTCCTCTTACAAATATCTCATCTCAATTACCACATGGCCCAGCAATTCCACTCCTGGTTATATATCCACAAGAGCATTGAAAATAGGTACTCAAAGAAAACATGTACATAATGTTTTGGTTCATAGCAACATTATTCACAATAGGCAAAAGACAGAAATAAACCAAATATGCATTAACCAATGAATGGATAAACAAAAGTAGTATATCCAACAATGGAATATTATTCAGTCATAAAAGGAATGAAATTCTGTTATATTGACAAACACTGAAAACATGCTAAATGAAATAAATCAGGCACAAAACATGTTTTTTAAGAACTGTCCAGAATAGGCAAACCCAGAGAAACAGAAAGTAGATTGGAGGACCAGGGACTGGAAGGATGGAGAAAAGAGGAAGGACTGCTTAATGGGTGTAAGGTTTCCTTTTGAGTTGAAGAAAATATTCTGGGATTAGATATTGGTGATGGTTGAACAACACTGTGAATGTACTAAATGTCACTAATGGTGACTGTGTATTTTATCACAAAGGTCTCATCTCTAATTTACACTCATTCTCTTTTTCGATGGATTTTTTTTTCTCTCTCTGATATGGCATAAGGTTTCCATAAACAGTGAAACAACAAAAAATGCAACCTAAGCTTCAGGTAAATCATGAAGCCTCGTTTAAAATATGCTAGACATGAAATCTTGGACATTTGGAGATTTCATGTCTGGAATGGCCAGAATGAAAGTAGCAAGTTATGTGGGAAATACATGTCAAATAATTAATGGGACAAATTGGAATTCCTTGTAAAAAGCTCAAGGTAGGCAACAGCATTTTTGTAGTATCATACACTTGTGAGTTGTATACTACCTTATTGAATCTATATTCAAACAAAAATTTGTAAATAGAGCTCTGGAGTTGCTACTACCTAGATACTTCCTGTGGTTAATATTTTCATTAAACAAATAATTACTTTCTAATTTATATTTCAAAATTTCATATCTTCATAGTTGGAAATGCTTTAAGTAAAAGAAATAGAACATTTCTCAAAGAGGCAGTTAGAGGTGCTCTGACTCAAAGTAAATGAGTATTCTATTGTACAAAATTGACCCACTTTTATTGTATTACATTTGGGTTGGATAGTCAAAGAATACCTCATGTTGACTCATGTCACTTGGATTGAGATATACAAATATTTGTTTCTTTACTCTGAAATGTTTAGATCTTTCAAGGTAAAATATTATTTACCCAGGATTGAAATGACAATTGAGAAAGGAAATTAATTATGATTTACATGAAATTTAGATGCAGATTTTAGGGAGAACTTCAAAGTGGTTCTTGAGATCATCTGTGGTTCTAGTGAAGAGTAATTCAGAAACAACTCACTAACTTTCCCCTTAAGGAAATTAAAATTGGATACTAACATGATTTTGAAGCCAGATTTAAAGATAGTTAGTGTAGTTAGGTAAATCGGGTCTAACATCTAGGAAGATAAATAAAATGGAGGCCATTATAGAGAATGGAGCCCAGGAAAGTAGAGCAGCTCTTTGGGAAATTGAAATGTTAAAGTTCCCAAGGCCCAGAGCCCATCCTAAGGAAATGTTAATGAAGCAGCTTCCAGCAAACAGGGAGGTGCTAATGGAAAGCTGCCCCAGGTCCTTCCTGCCTAGGTTACTCCTCTGGCCCATCTGTCCCTCACCTTTTGGGCCTTCCCACCTACATTTCATCACTGCAAGATAACAGAACAAAGGACAAAAATGCATGCGACTGAAATGCGGGAAATCTGAAAGTAAACCTTAGCTATAAAAAAGGGAAGACCTCCCCCTTCCATGGATTCCACCTCTTGGGTCCCCTTCTTCCTGGGGAGAAGTCTTTTCTAAAGCTTCTAGGGGCTGGGGATGTGGCTCAAGCCATAGCGCTCTCCTCTGGAATACGTGCGGACCGGGTTCAATCCTCAGCACCACATACAAACAAAGATGTTTATTTTTAATAAAATTAAAATTCTCTCACTCTCTCTTAAAAAAAAATAAAATAAAGCTTCTACTTTCCACTCTAAACTTTCCTCCGCGTGCTTCTCTGGTGTTATACTTCAGCTTTGGGGAAGCAAAGACTTGTCACCGGTAAACAGCTGTAAACAGCAGCGGTAACAATTTCAGAGAAGAAACAAGAAAAGGAATAGATAAGTTGGAATGGTGCACATTATTTTCTCACAAGATAAAAGATTCCATGAGGGATCTTAACAGAAAAACCCCTGATGAAACATAAATCAGACTTCCTTGTAATTTATACTTTCAGTGAATACATAGAAAATAGACATTAGTATTAATTGACCTCTGATTGTGCTCAAAACCTAACTTGTTTCACTATTTTATTTACTAACACCAGTAAATACAGGATGCCATTGATCAAACAATTAAGGGGATTGATGTTCTTTTCTTCATGTGGATGACAAATTGAATTCATTTTAAAGAATTATTTTAATAAGTAAGTATGAAAACTGCTAAAATTTTCATGGTGAGACTTTCAACTTTTTTGAGAACTTAATCTTTGGAGTCAGACTTGGGTTTGAATTCTACTTCTGTCACTTACTAGCTATTTATTGTCTGCTACTTATCTATTATTGCAAAACCAAATACCCCTAAATTTGTGGCTCAAACAACAATAAACAGTTATTATTTCATACATTTTCAGTGGATCAGGAATTTGGGAGTGGCTTAGCTTAGTGGGTCTGGCTTAGGGTTTTTCTTGAGTTTGTGGTCAATATATTGGCGGGGGTTGTAGAAGTCTGAAGGTTTTTTCACATGGCTGTTGGCAGGAGGCCTCAGCTCTTTATCCCATGGAATTCTTCATAGAGTTGCTTAAGTGCCTTATGACTCAACAACTATCTTCTCCCCAGAATGACTGATCCAAAGATCAAAGCAAAAACAATGCTCTTTAAAATGCAACCTAAGAAATGACACTTTTTCATTTTTGTAATATCTTGTTGCTTATTCAGGTCAGCCCTATTCAATATAGAAGGTTAGTCATAACCAACAGAGGGAAGAATATCAGAAATGAAGCTGGTTATGACTAACTTGAGTCCAAACATCTGACTTTAAGCCTGGTAAATGAAAATTAACAGGAACAATGTCCACTAATTTAAGGTTTATAAGATCCTTTCCACATTCAGCTTCGCTTAACCAAGTATTTAAAAAACTACTCAGTATTTTTACTATCAAGAAATTCACTTTGAGGCTTCCTTGAAAGAGGCAGAAATAGGTCAAAGTGCTTACAAATTATTTCCATAGGCATTCATTTGTTATCCTTTATGTTTTGTAATAGAGCTAGCTGACTATATCAAAGTCTTTGGAGGTGTCTTTATTGTGGGATTATCACTTTGAGTTTTAAATCTCTTATTTATTCTTTTGTTCTTATGAGAGATATATGTGACAAGATGATTCATGAAAGATTATCTTCCTATAACCTATAAGTGATTAACATAGGCTTCCAAGCTCCTCAGATAAGCATATTTGATCTTATTACAAGATGTGTGAAAAATGACATGAGAAGTCCAAATAAGAGGTGTTCTGTGGACGTCATTGATTCTTGATTTCCTCTTGAACTGTCACTTTTTTACTACCAGAAGAGAAGAATAATTTAAAAATATCTTATATGTTACTTGGCCAAGCTAAACAATTTATTGAAATTACAGTGAAACTTAAAGATATACAGAAAGATTTGGGCTAATTCTTTGGAAGATATCCTAAATTAATGTATGGGTTATAGATATTGTAAAAATATTTCTATTTAAGGGCTGGGATTGTGGCTCAGCAGCAGAGTGCTCGTGGAAGGCTCTGGGTTTGATCCTCAGCACCACATAAAAATAAATAAAATAAAGATATTGTGTCCAACTATAACTAAAAAATAAATATTTTAAAAAATATATTTCTATTTGATAGAAATACATAAATAGCTCTCAAAATATTTGATTCTTAGGAAAGAAGTTAAGATCACCTGAGTTTCCATTTGAAACTAAACAACATTAAAAGTTCAGATTAACAGAAAAAATTGTTTAGTTTCATTCTGAATTGCTTCAGTAATTTACCATAATTTAGCCCTGGAAAAACACATAAAATATTTTTCTACTGCAGCTATACTAAGTATAAAAATTCTCATGAGCAATAAAAACCTATATAACACCCCCAAAGGTGGTAGATCCCTACATTGAAATTATATAAATATCTGCATACACACACACAATGGAATATTACTCAGCCATAAAGAAGAATGAAATAATGATATTTGCTGGTAAATGGGTGGAACTGGAGAATATCATGCTAAGTGAAATAAGCCAATCCCCAAAATCCAAAGGATGAATGTTCTCTCTGATTTGTGGATGCTAACTCAAAACAAGGGAGAGGAATAAAAGAAATTCACTGGATTAGACAAAGGGAAGGGAGGGAGAAGAGATAGGAAAGACAGTAGTAGATTAACTGGACATAACT